CCCGGACTGCAAGAGGGCACATGCTGGGCTAAGGGACCCCCCACCCATCCCCAGTGCACGAATTTCGTGCACCGGGCCTCTAGTCCTATATAATAAAGAACTAATATGCTAATTAGACTGGACAGCAGAACTACCTTCCGGAATGACCATCTAGAATGACCAGTGGGTGGGGGCGGGGCCAGCAAACCTGTGCCACCAGGCCAGCCATGACAGTCCTGGTGCCCCCCACTTCTGCAGAGGGGGTGGGAGAGGCAGAAGCTTGGGCCTGGTCCCAGCACTGCCCCTTTCTCAGAGGTGGCAGGAAAGGCGGTGGCGCGGTCCTGGTGCCACACCTTCCACAGAGGTGGCGGGAGAAGGGGCTGCATGGTCCTGGTCCCGCACCTTCCACAGAGGCGGTGGGAGAGGGGGCGGTGCAGTTCCGGAGCTTCCGCACAGGCAGGAGAGGGCATGACAGCGGTACCTCAACCTCCCATGGCCCCTCCCCTGGCTGGCCTGGCCCCCGATCCCGCCCCCCCCCCCCCGCACCAGTGGGTGGGGCGGGGCCCACACTAAGGAGCAGCGAACCGGCTTCCGGTTGAGCTGCGGCTTCCGGTTGAGCTGCGCTCCTATCCCCTGCCCCCCTGCTCAGCCAGAAGCCAGGCTCACGGCTGGTGAGTGCAGAGGTGGTGGCAGGAGCCTCTCCCACCTCTGTGGCAGGCGAGTAGTAAGGAGCGAGGGATCCGGAACTGTGAGAACCCCGGACGGCAAGAGGGATGTCTGAGTGCAGGCGGACATCCCCCGAGGGGTCCCAGACTGTGAGAGGACACAGACTGGGCTGAGGGACACACACACACACACACACACACACACACACACACCCGTGCATGAATTTTGTGCACTGGGCCTCTAGTAAACCATAAACCAAAAAATTCCTATTCTTCCCTATCCTTACTGTACTAGGTAGAGAGAAAGAAAGAGAGAGAACTATCTTAATTATTCATAGTTTAGGCTAAGTCTCATCATAATTATCTATCCTCTGAACTAATTCTTTGGAAAATGTTATATACTGCCTTTAATGTTGATTTCTTTTTTATTACAATAACAATTCAAAAAGTAAATATCTTGAAAAAAAACTACATTTGAGGAAACAATATATTAGTAAAGAATTAAAATAAGAGAATTTGTATCTGTTTACACTGTTATATGGTAACAATGTCAAAAATAGGCTTAAACTTCATTGGAATATGAGAGAACAAAAGTAGAACTGATTTTCTAATCACTCCGTTAATTTGGAGGCTAAAAATACATTCTTAGTTATATGTGGATTTATTAAAATAGATTTAACAAAGTTCAGTGTCATAGCTAATGGCCTATTTAAACAAGGTAATTCACAAGACAATGCTTTCTTAAAACTGCTGGCCTAGCTCTGGTTCTTTATGTACATAGGATCTGGAGATATGGGTGCATGCACCTGTACTTGCACAGACATATCTTAGTCCGGAGATGGCTGCCTGGTGTCCAGTATGGAACTATGGTATATATCCCCATGACTTTTGACTTTTTAAAGTTTAAGATTCTATCTAGAATCACAAACAGTAATTATATATTTTTAAATCAATAAAGTTCAGCTTCCTAGAGACCTCAAAAAAAGTTCATCCTAATATATATTTTTTCTCTTTAAGTATCACAGTCCCTCAAAATTAATATAATGCTCTAGGGATGCATACAATGAGGTTGAAAAATAACAATGAGTTAACAAGGAGAGTATTACAACATTGAACTTGCAAGTACTTAATCTTATAACTTTTTTATAACATTGGAGATTTCACTCAGCTTTTATATATTTTTTAAAATCTTTGAAAGAGAATAAGCTCACTCAAACCACTAGCCAAATAGATAAAGAGTAACTTACAACGAAGTTTTCTAGGATCCTTATGGTCTTTTTCTTTATCTTGTTTTTCTATTCCTGGTGAATCTGGTGTTTCCTCTTCAATTGCTTCATCAGTTTCTACTGTCTATGGGTTGGAGATTTCGCAAACATGCATTACTTTTGATATTACTTTAGATGTAACAGCATAATTTTCAGAATTATCAGTGACTAACTTTCCAAATTATTTTAGGGAACCAATTAGCATATAACAGGTATGATTTAGATATTTGACAAATCATTTAAATTAGTCTGTTTTTTCTCCTTAGATGTTATTAATTCTGAATTTCCAACAAGAAAATTTACTGATAATTCACAGAACAATGGATTTACACTGATGGTGAAGTGATCTTGCCTCATTTTGATTAACTGCATATGAGTGTCAATAATAACAGTTAAAAAGTCAGGCTACAATCTATGGTGCTAAAACAAGATGAAGCTACATTCTGAGAAAATGGCACAAGATAACTACACTTTGTGTCAATAGTTAAGCATTATTCAGACTCATGGATGTTAGGAATTGAAAGAAATCCTAGGGATCTTAATTTAAGGTCTAACCACTTTTATAGGTTAAAAAACTGGATTGAGTTCTCAAAGCCAACCTTGCTTTTTGCCTTTTCACACTGAGGTCTTTATTCCACCAAGAATTTATTTTTCTGTATCATGTAAGGAAAGGCTCAAATTTCTTCTTGGATATCCAGTTGGCCCAGCATCATTTACTAAAAAATTTATTCTTACTCACTAATCTACAGTGCTATATCTGGCATAAAGTGTCCAAAGATATGGGGTCTATTCTACAGGTCTTTGTATCTATCCTGTTATGGATACAACATTCTATTAAATAATATAGCTTTACGAAGTCTTGGCATATGATAGAGCAAGTCCTTACACTTTCTTCTTCAAGAGTGTCTTGGACACTTTTAGCCCTTTGCATTAGAATAAGCTTCTCAAGTTCTAGCAGAAAACCTAATTGGATTTTGAGTGAGATTCAAAAATCTCAAATCTATAAATTTATAAATCATTTGGAAATATATTGTATCTTTACATTATTGAGCCTTTTAATCTATGAACATAATATGTTTCTCATTTAATTAGGTTTTCTTCAATGTATCTCCATAAAGTTTTGTAATTTTCCCTGCAAAGGTCTTGCAGATCTCTTGCTACATTCATTACTTAGTATCTTTTGCCACTTTGTAAATGGTACATATTTTAAAATTTCATAGTAATAAGTTCCCCTCTTTTCATCTGGTTTATTCCCTGATCCTATACAAAGAAATGGAAGCATATACCATGTTCATGGATTAGAAGAATTAACACCAAAAGGAAGCTACAGATTCAACACAATCCCTATTAAAATACCAATGGCATACTTCACAGAATTAGAACAAATACTCTGAAAATTTATACAGGATCATAGAAGACTCAGAATAGCTGCAGAAATCTTAAGAAAGAAGAACAAAGTAGAAGGGATCACAATACCAGATATCAAACTATACTACAAAGCCATCATAACCAAAATAGCCTGGTACTGGCACAAGAACAGGCATATAGACCAATGGATCAGAACAGAGACCCTAGAAATTGACCCATACCATTATGGTCAATTAATATTTGATAAAGGAGGTAAGAACATACAATGGAGTAAAGACAGTCTCTTCAATAAATGGTGTTGAAAAAACTGAACAGATACATGCAAAAAGATGAAACTAGACCACCAACTTACACCATACACAAGAATAAACTCAAGGTGGACAGATACATGCAAAAAGATGAAACTAGACTACCAACTTACACCATACACAAGAATAAACTCAAGGTGGATAAAAGACTTAAATGTAAGGCATGAAACCATAAAGGTCTGTACATGGTTTCAGGAATAAATGGAAAGAAAGGAAAAAGATTCAGAAATATCAGACAGCATTAGAAAATGGAAAGGAAGAATGGAGAGGGAGGTCTGGAGGGAGATTTGGAGGGAGGGAGGGAGGTTCTGAGGGAGGGAGGTTTGGAGAGAGAGAGATTCGGAGGGAGGGAGGTTTGGAGGAAGGAAGGGAGGAAGGGAAATTTTGAGGGAGGGGAGGAGACAGGGAGGAAGGGAGGGAGGGATAGATATGAATCATTTGATAGAGGAGGTAAAAGAGGAAAAGTTAAAGCATACTCAGATTCTATATCTGGGTGTTTTGAACTGAGGGAATCATAAAATTTTAGAGCTTGAAAGGATACTTAGAGACAATCAAATCCAGCCTCTCTATTTTATAAGTAAAACACTGATGCCCATAGAGGTAGAATATCTTAATAAGATCACAAAATTCATTAATTATGGGCATCACCTATAAATTCTCTGATAGACATCTTAATCTCTACCAAAGCCAGTGATTCCCAATTTTTTTTCTGTCTCTGATTAGTTTTAAACCGTAACACATTCTCCTATGTATTCATTTTCAATTTTGTCACTGACATGTGATCCCTATTTAGGAGCCATGCCCCATATGGTGAATGGGTAAAAAATATAGCTCTGAGTATAAATCTGCAGTTCTTTTTGGTTGCTATATATATAAGAAGAAATTTATCAGGAACATGAGGGCACTGGTTGGGGTATGAAGGAGAGCTAGAACATCTGAGAATACCTTGAGGTATTGGGGGATTAGAGAGGTGTCACTAGTAAAAAAAAAAAAAAAAGCATGCTAATTAAGAGACTACCGATTCATTCATTTCACAATTTTGCCTCGGACCTGTTTCCACCAAATAGTACTATTTCCAACTCATTCACTCATTGAATAAATACTATGCTCTAGGCATAGTGTAACTGTCCCTTCTTCTTGAACTATTTCTTTTTGGACCAATGCCTCATGTGAAAATTATTTACAATATTTTAAATAGTTAGACACTATATAAATGAGAATGCTAAATCATTCACCAGCTCCTGGGAGTTACTGAAGTGACCACCATCTTACCCACCTCTGTCAAAATATATATTAAGAATGTGCACCCCTCTGTTCATAGCAGCACAATTCACCATAGCTAAGATTTGGAAACAGCCTAAGTGCCCATCAGCAGATGAGTGGATTAGAAAACTGTGGTACATCT